GAAACAATCAACACATTTCAAATTGGGACTTGATGGTCTTAACAGTATTATCGATAAGTTTTAAAATTTAAACAACGAGCATACGACGTCGTATTAAGACACATAGAGAGTATTAGAGACGTACACGCACTTTGGAGCTAAGCCATCCACACGGACACGATAAGATTGCGAGCAAAGGATCACCACCAACCACTTCACGTCACGCGGATTTGATGGGCCCTTAATGGGCTCTCTTCTTCTAAACCCGTTCTTGTTCACTTAATCTGCCCGCCTGTCAGGAGGAACTTAGAAAGTTCCGGTCATCTTCATCGGAAAAGTGATGGAGATAGTCGCATTGCTCATCAAGGTCGCTGGTCTTTTGGCCACGATCTCCGTCGGAGCTAATGCATTCTCCTACTCTCGTTATCGTCGCCAGTACCTCGCGAAGATTCGCTCTCCAATCGATGAATCTGCCGAAGTTCTCGCCGATTTCAATTCCCACCGTAAGGCTCTCTCTTTCATCTTCTAGGATTGGGATTTCGTGATTCAATTCGTGTTTGAATAGGTTATTTACTGTTGAATGTGTTCTTCGTTTTAGTTTATGTGATTGAGCTTGATTCTGTCTACTGAGTGTGAAGCTTGACTTACCTAATTTAGGAAACGATTTTCCATTTCTGCAACTTTTGGAAACGAATTCTTCCAGTTTCTGCAATCTTTCGGAATTAAAATTACCAGAACGTTTTTTAGATTTGTTGTCTTGATTTTGAAGCTATAAACGCGTTTGTTTCAGAACATGAGGAGGGAAAATTCTTCTTTGGGTTGGCTACTGCACCTGCTCATGCGGAGGACGAACTCAATGATGCTTGGCTTCAGTTTGCAAAAGAAGATAAGCCAAATTCAGAAGAATCTGACAGTAAAATAACAAAGAAGAAGAAGAAGGTTAAGCTTGCTGTGGGAGCTATAACGAAAGGGTTGGAGAAGAACACACATGGAAAAGAAGATAAGGCTGCAGCGGACAAGGCACCCACTAAAAATGTAGCTGCGTGGCATAATGCTCATCATCCGTGAGCTCCCTATATGCTTTTTATCTTCAAGTGCACCAAGATAGACATTAGTCTTAAACATCTCAAAATGGGGTTTTTTTCTTCCTTCCATTTGTTGCAGAGAGGAAAGGCTTAAATTTTGGTCAGATCCTGATACTGAAGTGAAGCTAGCTAAAGATACTGGCGTTACTGTCTTTAGGATGGGAATTGATTGGTCTAGGGTCATGCCAGAAGAGCCCACCAAAGGGATTAAGGACGCAGTGAGTCAAATAAAACATAAACCTTGTGTCTAAATATGCTTCTTGTAGAGCAAGCGTCCTTACCTATTGTGATACATCATATAGTGTCTTAATGCA